CATATGCCTTTTAGTGTTTCTTTGTATTTTTGTCTGTTCCTCCCTTTCCTTTTGGTTTAGTTCTTGCTGTATATATAGCCCACCCCTTTCCCAGTAATGCATTTCAGCTTCAAACCTCATGCCAATGAAGCAGATCACATTATGATCTTTTGACGTAATCCGATGTTCATGGTTGTAAGATTCTCCCAGTTTATGAATAAACTTCACAAGATCTACAAGGTGTCATCTGATCAAGTCACTGCCTGTGTTATTCAACTAAGATTGGAGTTATCGCTATCAACTGTAAAAGTTACAGAGATCACGCTTTCGATGTTTAGATTGGAGAGAGACAGAACAGACATCATAGGGTTTGTGTACTGGGTGGATTAGGTGGAGATCATGTATATACGAGCCAATCAGCCACCATGGATTTCTAGCCTTTGAGAACACCCACTGGAAAGGGCGAAACATCAGCTGGGAGCTGTTGGCGACATAATTTCCTTCGGCTGGTGGAATGCACACTGGTACACTACCGGTCCTGTGTTTGTTATGCTTCTATTTGCTATTTATATGTGAGTGGAACACTATTTTAACTCCTCCTCTTTTTATACATTACACCATATGGAGGATCTCATTCTCATAAATTGAAAACGAAACGATGGAGGTACTAGCATGAGGACCGGACCAACAAGAGGACCACATATCCCAGATGAACTCATATACTTACACAATTGTGTCAGACTCTTGCTCTTATAAGAGTCCACGGAAGCTGGTAAGTGGGACCACCGGAGGGGGAGCACTAAGGATTCATTGCACTTATGATGAATTATCGCATGTTTTTCGCACTTTGCTTTGAAGAGGGCTATATTATTAGTTTACTATATTTGTTTGCATCATTGTTAATGGTGTAATTTTAGAGGAAGCACATTTCATTGAATTCATAGTATTTTTTGAGGTATTGTGTACGTATATAGGGCAGCGCTTCACTGTTTTAACATCAGCCAGTAATAAATGTGTTATTACACAGTGGTATTGTGTCAGGAAGGTCTCCAATATTAATAGTGGGAGTTCTGGGAAGAGTGTAAAGGGAATGTCAATATTCTTTAAGTAGGGAGGAGATGTCCTTCCAAAGCATTCTTCACATTGGTGCATTCCTGGAAGATATGGAATAAACTACCTGTTTCCACAGTTTCTTCAGCATAATGATGATGTTGTTGCTTACTCATTTTATGGATAGTATTTGGGGTGATATTACCAGCGAAGATTTAGCTTATGGGTGTGATGTTCCCATTAGTTTGTCGATCGGGTATTGTTTGTAAATGGAACTAATAGCGGTTTGTCTACTGAGAGTTAGTATAGGCCTGTCTTAGATTCCCATTCCCATTTTTACAAAGGGAGTGAGTTTAGTAAAAGTTGTTTTGTAACAAATTATAAAAAAGAGTGATACCCTTTATTGAGGTGTATTTGTTGTTTTTAAGTATTTCCATGCTACTTTTACTTATATGTCTCTGGAGGTATATTTTGTGTTGTAGACAATGAACATCTTGGAGGGTACTTGTATTATCAGATGAGGGTAAGGTAATACATTGATTTTTAGTGTAGAGAAAGGTTTCATTACCCCTTGGTAATATAGGTCTGTAACCAGAGGGATGCCTTTAGCAAACGATGATCGAAGATCCATGTTTAGATTTAGAAGCTGAAGCACCACAGCAGGAATGGCGTATGCGCACCGGGTCAGTGCCTTCTGACAGAAAGTATCTAAAGGCCAAAACAGAGGCAATTAGTGAGGGGGTAAATGGTTCTCTTTAATTTGGACTCGGTTTACACACTTATAAGCCACTTGTAAAGTTTATGGCCAAATATTTGTGAGGGATTCTATGGTCTTTCCATAAGGAGGTAACATTGGAAGAAAAATCAGGTTTTAAGTTGTGCCACCAAATGGTTGCTTTGTAGTAACCTTGATATCGATATCCTGCACCTCCTACAGTCCTGTGTTTTATCAGTTTGGAATGTGAGAGTCTAACTTTTTTATTGTGCCCTATATAAAACAGTTTAGATTGTGATAGTATGTCCTAAAATAGGTTTTTCAGGTATTGGGATAGGTAAAGATTGAATAGGTAAAATAAAATGGGGAAGTTAAAGCATTTTAAAGGCTGCTAGTATTACCTGACCAGGGAAGGTTGTTGTGTTTGGAGATATGCTCAAGGTCTTTTGTAAGGTTCGTGTAATATAGGAAGATAATTTGTATGAAAGTGGGATGACATTTATTTAGTCAGTTGAATCCCCTAGATATGTGATTATGTTCTTCAGACCACACATAAGGATATTTTTTTCATCAACCAGGTGTTTTTTTTTTTAGGGTATAAGTTCCATATCTAATACAAAGGATTAGTTGAATTCACTCTGTAATAGGATATATCGCTAAATTCGCTAAAAAAAAAAAAACCCATGCTGTCTGACTTCCTATTAGCCTTATCTAACATTTATAGGGTGATGGGGCGAGGTAAAGTCATTTGTCAATTGATAAGAGGCACATAAGTGGAATAATAATAATAATAATAATAAATACCAGTTGCCAACCCAGTCCAAAGTCATAAAAGATCATTGGATTCTTTGATCACTAAAGGCAAAAGGAGGTGAGGAACAATTACCAAGAATGATAGACACATTTAAGGATATTAGAGCATCTACCATAGATCAACAGCAGTGTCAATTTTTGAGTCACTGTACATGACATGTGGACTGTACACATGGATATTCCAAGCAGCAGTCATTTACCTGTTAAACGGAACAGAGAGAACATGATAACAAAAAAAATATATATATATAGATGCAGTGTTGAAACTGCTTTAAGACTTGTTCACTAAACATGCTATCTGCAACTTGGCCTCTGTCTGCAAAAGTAAACCTTCACCACTCTATTAAAGAAAAAAAAAAGTTTTGGCTTTTGATACACTTTAAGAGTAGAGGTATGCTACCTTTGAGAGGGTGGCGATCTACCTGGAAAGATCACCAGGGCTCAGCACCATATATATAAAAAAAAAAAAAAAAAAAAACAACCACCACATGCAATCATGTCTATTATTGATTTAAAAAAAAAGTGGCCAATGGGACAAAAGGTAAAATACTATATGATACACCAATTAAGCCAGCACATACCCAAGTGTATTTAGAAAGATATAGATACATGTCTTGCTTGGCGATAAAATCTTCCCATAATTCCCAAAATGTTTCCAAACAGAGTTCCTTCTTCAGGGAATATTTCCTGGTATAAAATAATGCTACAATACAATAATGTTAGATCAGTAATTACATACAATCAAGTTAATGAGCACACACATGGGGAAAGGGAAGTTTTGTAAGCATATGCCTCCATAATTGCAAAGACCTAACTAGTAGGTGTACCTGTGTAACTTGATTCAAAAAATAGACATCCACAAAGCAGAGGCAGTCTAGCCAAAAATCAGCATAAGGTCTTTAAATTCACATCTCCAGCTCTGAAAAGGGGTTACTGCAAGGATCCCAGTGGGGCATCACCAAAAGGAAAGGCCAATCTATAATGAAGTATTAAAACCAAAACTAAGGTATGGCACACAAAACCAGTGACCATATACATTGAATACAGACCAAGATTTTTTTTTAAATATTATATTGGTAATCAGTAAAATATGGATACTGCGGTGGACTGAATTCACAGAACTTGTATCTTAGAGCTGACATTTATAGAACATATAGTAAACAAAATGTTAAATTGTGTCAGCAAAGAGTTTTATATCTATATCACAGTACTCCCAAAAAAGGAGGCATAGGGCAACTGGGATAAAGTAGATGGTTGTCCCACAATGAGTTTACATTTATGTCCCCCAGTACAGCAAAGAGTAACTGGGTGTAAGGTGAAAAAAAAAATTAACAAAATACCTGGTCATGCAGCAGGAATAGCCATCAACAGCAGAGATATGCTCAGCAAGGAAGTCATAGAACAAATGACTGCGTAGTGGGTGTTATATAGGTAGGGGGAAGGGAAGAAGTCCACTAATCTGGCCAGTGATGTTTCTGGGAGTGGACACACACCTACCACACAAGTGCATCACATTGCACCATTGTGATTTGGGATCCCCAGACATGTGAAGTATAAACAACTAAGGCTTGGCACACCCATACCCAAACCCAGTAACCATTTTATATTGAGATACAGACCAAGGTTTTTTGAAAATAACATGATGGGTAATATTAACCCTTTCCAAATGTATTATGTAAATTCTATTTAAGTGTCACAAAGATTAAATATTTTTTTTTCAGTTTAACTCATGGATGGCATTGTTGTGTCAGGGCTCTTTTGAAATCACTGAAAACAATCTCGGACACCTGTGATAATTAGATTGGCCGGGTGAGCCCAATTTGGAATAACTACTAAAGGAGGGTGGTTCCACATTATTAAGCAGAGCACCATTTGCAAGCAATATGGGGGAAGAAAAAGGATATCTCTCACGCTGCCGAAAAGAGTGAAATAGTTCAATGCCTTGGATGAGGTATGAAAACATTAGATATTTCACGAAAAACTTAAGCGTGATCATCGCACTATTAAGAGATTTGTGGCTGATTCAGAGCACAGACGGGTTTCGTGCAGATAAAGGCACATTGAGGAAGATTTCTGCCAGATCCATGCATCAGGTTCAAGAGAGCAGCTGCTAAAATACCATTTACATAGCAGCAAACAGATATTTGAAGCTGCTGGTGCCATCTGGAGTCCCACGGACATCAAGGTGTAGAGTCCTCCAGAGTTTGCAACTCTGCATAAACCTTCTATTCGGCCACCACTATTCCAATGCTCACAAGCGGAAAATGGCTGCATTGGGCAGATGAAAAATACATGAAGATTAATTTTCCTGGTTCACTGATGAGTGCCCGTGCAACCCTGGATGGGTCCAGATGGTATTGGAGTAGTGGATGGTTGGTGAACGGCCACCCTTGTTCCAACAAGGCTGTGGCGTCCGCAAGGCGGTGACTGGAGTCATGTTTTGTGACCTCCTGCAAAGTATGTGGAGTTTATGACTCTGACCACTTTCTATTGCCCTGGTACAGAAGGAAGAACTATGCTTTCCGTAATAGAAAATCATCTTCATGCATGACAATGCACCATCTCATGCTGCCAAGAATACCTCTGCATCAATGGCTGCTATGGGGATAAAAGGAGAGAAAGTCAGTGGTGTGGCCGTCCATTCTCCCCTGACCTTAATCCTATTAATAACCTTTGGAGCATCCTCAAGCAAAAGATCTATGAGGGTGAGAGGCAGTTTAACCATCTAACAGCAGCTCTGGAGGCTATTCTGACATCTTGCAAACAAATTCAAGCAGAAACTGTCCAAAACTCACAAGTTCCAATGGATGCAAGACTTGTGAAAGCTGCTATCAAATAAGGGGGTCCTAAGTTACAATGTAACGTGACCTGTTTTAAAATGTGTAAAAAAGTAAAAATGTTGTTAAAAGTTTGATTGAAATAGCTTTTTTTGATTTCAGTAAAATATGCTGCAAACACAACAAATGACACTTTTCAGTTCTTTACAACCTATAATGTGTTTTGAAACTTACTGTGCGTAATAATTTGGAACAGTGCATTGTAAGTGTTTTATGTTTAAATAAAATACTTGTTATCATTAGGAGGTTTGCTCAATAAAATTTGAATTGTAATCTCTTCATAGTTGATAACATGAGAATTATGCTGACTGTTATTTACATCAATTATTTAGGTAAATGAGAAAAATATATAATCTGCATATTAATTTGGAACAGGATGTAATAAAATAAAGATGCTGCCATGGACTAAATCCACAGGAAACTTGTATCATAGAGCTGACATTTTTAGAGCGCAATAGTAAACAAAATATTAAATTGTGTCAGAAAAGAGTATATGTCTATATCTCAAAGTAATCCCAATAAAACAAAATGGCAACTGAGATAGAGTGAATGGTGTTCACAAAAAGTATACATCTGTCACAGGGTATCCCAGTAGAGCAAAAAAAAAAGCAACTGGGGTGAGGTGAAACAAACCTAACAAAATACCTGGTCATGGCAGTATGACAGTCACAACAGACGTATGCTCAGCAAGGAATTCATAGAAAAAAATGAGTCGTGTGATATTATATAGGTGGGGGGGAAGGAATCTGGCCAGTGATGTTTCTGGGAGCAGACACACAACTAACCATACAGGTACATAACATTACACCATGTGATCTGGGATCCCCAGACAGGGAGGCGTGTGGCGCCACTGCACTAGACAGTGTGCAGCAACGGCGTCACGCTCCGCCATGGCTACGGCGTGCGCAGCAGATGGCAATCATGCCAGTTAGTGTCATCTGCCCCCCTTTCCCTCATAGCAAGTGATCTTTGGCCCCTCCCCCCAGCATGTCTACCGCCCCCCCATTTAGTCTCATGCAGTCTTTTTTTCAGGCACTTTTGGGGGAGATTTACTAAAAACTAGTGCACTCTGAATCTGGCGCAGCTATGCATGGTAAGCCAATCAGCTTCTAGTTTCAGCTTGTTCAATTAGGCTTTGACCAGGCCCGGACTGAGACAAAAAATAGGCCCAGGAACTTTGGACTGAGCAGCCCAAAGCCCAGGTAACCCTGTCCTCGGAGCCCGGTGGTTGAACACCAGGGCCCAGTCACAAGAGTGATCCTTGCGACCCTGGTAATTCCACCTACTAGTGTCAGTAGGTTTTATTTTTATTCCATTTTATATTTCATTTTTTTCTTACTTTTCTTTGTAGGCAAAAAAGAAAGATTGAGGGAAAGAAAGGAAAGAATGGCTGGAGGAGATATGGGGGAGGGGCGCTGGAGGAGATGAAGGAGGAGGCCACTGGAGGAGATTGAAGGGGGGGTGCTGGAAGAGATGAGTGGAGGCCGCTGGGGAGATGTAGGGGGGGCCCGCTGGAGGAGATGAGGGAGGGGGTCGCTGGAGGAGATTGGGGGGTGCTGGAGGAGATGAGGGAGGGGGCCGCTGGAGGAGATGATGTGAGGAGGTTTGGCCAAGGGGGGAGCATGCAGAATCCACCGCATGCAGGAGATTGATAGGAGAGGCGGCTGAGACGGCACATACTGTAGAGGAACAGAGAAATGAGCGGCACATAGAGGAACCGAGAAATGAGCGGCACATAAAGGAACCGAGAAAAGAATGAGCGGCACATGCCCGGTGCGCGCTCTGTGGCCAGTCCAGGCCTGGCTTTGATAATATAAAACTGGAAGCTGTTTAGTTTCTATGCAGAGCTGTGCCAGATTTTGCACTCTTCAGTTTTTAATAATCAGTCTATATCTTTCTGTCTACATGTACTTGCATGATAGCTAATTAGTATTCCTCATGCAGGTTTTTAATGGTGACAGTAAGTAGGGGTCATGTCTGTGTAGTCTTTGTTGAAATACACAAAACATGAAAAGGAACACTTTTTAATCAGAGTATAGCATCAAGTCAATTAAAGTGGGGATATTGATATACTCCAGCTAAGTAGCAGAGGGGGTTATTAATCAGTTTCAGCTGCTTTGCTGTTAATGAAAACTAACAACAGGTGCACTAGATGGGAAAAAATGAGACAACCCCCCCCAAAACATAAATGGTTTTTACACTGACATTTTTTCCCCTACTCATCTTTTCTCTGACTGTTTTTTTTCACTAGTTTTGCATTGGATAGGGTCAGTGTCACTACTGGTAGCATGAGGAGGGATACCTGGACCCTACAAAGGTTGCACAGGCAGTCCAACACCTCCAGGATGGCACATCAATACTTGCCCACTGCCAGAAGGTTTGCTGCGTCTTCCAGCACAGTCTCAAGAGCATGTGAGAAGATTCCAGGAGACAGGCAGTTACTCTAGGAGAGCTGGGCAGGACCATAGAAGGTCCTTTAACCATCAGCAGGATCAGTACCTGCTCCTTTGTTGCAAGGAGGAGACAGGATGAGCACTGCCAGAGCTCTACAAAATGGCCTCCAGCAGGCCACTGGTGTGAATGTCTCTGACCAAACAATCAGAAAACAGACTTCATGAGGGTGGCCTGAGGGCCTGACATCCTCTAGTGGGCGGGAGTGCATGTGCAGAAGCACGGAAGTGCGCGCATGCGCAGTAGCATACACATCACCACAAGGCGGGCTAATTAAAATTCTGCACAGTACTGTCAGGGATCCCCTCAATCCCCGCCGCGATTGGTCCCGGCGCATGGCGCAGTGTGCCGCCTCTGTGCAGGGCACTCCAGCACTAGGTCCGGGACGGCCGCAGGCGTTCGAGTTCGCCGCATGCGCAGTAGAAGAGCCGCGGTCCGCCCGCTGGGCACCAATGGCAGCACAGGGCGGGATATTTAAATGACCATGAGCTGTCATTCAGTGCCTTCTGGTCTTACCTGTATCCTGTAATCTGCGAACCTGTGGAATTGTAAGTTGCTGACCCGGATTGTTGCCTTGACCTTGCTGTATTTTCTCTGCCCTGACCTTTGCTTTGCCTGACCTCTCTCCGTGGATATGCCCCCTATTGGATTTGACCTGCTGTTGCTGACCTGGCGTTAGTGACACCCGACCATTCTATGCCCGCTGCCTTGTACCTTGCCGTCCTCTCTGTTACGACCCGGCCCGTCTGACCTTGCTCATCCATCCATCCCTTGCAGTGGGGGTCTGCTGACCTCCTCATATCAGACTCTTCCCCGTGGGGAGCCCTTGGCGCATACCACTACCACTGACGGACGCACCCAGTAGCCACGACCTGGTCTCAGGGGGCTCCAAGTCCATCCCCACCATCAGGGGCCCTGGTGAACAAGCACCCTGGGACTTAGACTCCGTGCGCTGGGGACGCCTATTCAGTGGAGAGCTAGTGGTACCGCCAGGCGGTCCCTTACAAGTACAGTGAAATCAATGCCTTCTGGTCTACAACGTTCCTGCACGTATTACCTGATTCTGTTGCCTGTATCCTGATCAGACCTGACTAAGAAAGAACTCTGCCTGCACTGACCCCGGCTATCCCTGACTATCCGCTTGCCTGGTCCCTTGTACTTGATCTGCTTGTTTAATACTGACCCGGCTTGTCTGACTCTGCTGCACCTACTTACCTGTACCTGCACCTGGCTTGCATCCTGATGGCTGCCATACTTACCTGCTGCTGCACCCACATCCTGCACCCAGCCTGCATTCTGGTCACTGCCATACCTACAAGCTGCCGAATCCACGCTCCTGTGTCCAGTCCAAGTCTGCATCCAGATTGCCACCATACCTGCTTGCTGTTGCACCTACGTTCCTGTATTCGCACCTGGCCTGCATCCGGATCTCCTGGGTCTTCAGCTACCTGCCGCCAGCTCCAGATCTACCCGGCACTCGTGCCACTCCTGGCTCTGCGCCCTCTGATCCCACTATCAGGGGCTCCGAGCAGGAATCGTAAGAGGACACCTTCTCTCCATGTCAGGCTCCCCAACCAGGTATGTGACACCAGCACCATAGAGCTCGATTGGCATTTTCCATTGAACACCAGATTTGGCAGATCCACCACTAGCGCCCTGTGCTTTTCACAGATGAGAGCAGGTTCACCCTGCCAGGCTGTCCTAGAAACCAATCATCAATTGGCAGCTCCTGCTCCCGCCTTCCACCCAGTACTGTGCTGTCTTCTCCTCTCCGCTCAGCTCTACACACGCTGACAGGTAGGATCCTGTATGTGTGATATGAAGGGAAACCAGGAGACACTGTAGGGGGGGCTTAGGAGACACTGGAGGGGGGGGATACAGGAGATACTATGAGGGGAGGCTTAGGAGACACTTTGAGAGGGGTCACAGGAGACTCTGTGGGAGGGGGTTGGAGACACTGTGGGAGGGGGGACACAGAAGACACTGTAGGAGGGGGGACACAGGAAACACTGTAGGGGGGGGGTTTAGGAGACACTGGAGGGGGGACACAGGAGGCACTGTGTGAGGGGGCTTAGGAGACACTGTGGGAAGGGGAACACAGCAGACTCTGTGGGAGGGGGGACACAGAAGACACTTTAGGAGGGGGGACACAAAAGACACTGGAGGGGGGACACAGGAGACTCTGTGGGAGGGGGTCTTAGAAGACACTGTGGGAGGGGGAACACAGGAGACTCTGTGGGAGGGGGGACACAGGAGACACTGTGGGAGGGGGAACACAGGAGACTCTGTGGGAGGGGAACACAGGAGAGTCTGTGGGAGGGGAGGAACACAGGAGAGTCTGTGGGAGGGGAGGAACACAGGAGACTCTGTGGGAGGGGAGGAACACAGTAGACTCTGTGGGAGAGGGGACACAGGAGACACTGTGGGAGGGGGGAACACAGGAGACTCTGTGGGAGGGGAGGAACACAGGAGACTCTGTGGGAGGGGAGGAACACAGGAGACTCTGTGGGAGGGGGGGAACACAGGAGACTCTGTGGAAGGAGGACACAGAAAACACTGTAAGAG